TCTTTTCCAACCTAAACGATTCTATGATTCTATGACTTGTGACCCGATGGGGGACCCACATTGGAGCAGTCTGCTCCTGCAGGACTGCACCCTGTGGAAGGGACCCATGCTGGAGCAGTTCATGAAGAAGGGAAGGACCCACGTTGGAGTAGTTTGTGGAGGACTGTCTCCTTTGGGTGGGACCCCACGCTGGAGCAGGGGAAGAGTGTGAAGAGTCCTCCTCTGAGGAGGAAGGAGCAGCAGAGACAACGCATGATCAACTGACTGCAACCCCCATTCCCTGTCCCCCTGCACTGCTCGGGGGAGGAGGTAGAGAAAATAAGGAGTGAAGTTGAGCCTGGGAAGAAGGGAGGGGTGGAGGGAAGGTGTTTTTTAAGATTTGGTTTTAATTCTCATTACCCTGCTCTAATTTCATTGTCAATAAACTAAACTAGTTTCCCCAAGTCAAGTCTGTTTTGCCAGTGATGGTAATTGGTGAGTGATGTCTCCCTGTCCTTATCTTGACCCATTAGTCTTCAGTTATATTTTCTCTTCCATGTCCAGTTGAGGAGGGGAGTGATAGAGCAGCTTTGGTGGGCACCTGGCATCCAGCCAGGGTCAAACCACCATATATAGGCAAATACAAAGACTATATCCAGGCATATGTTGAAGAATTGGAACCTGTTTATCCAAAGCAGTCCACACTGAATTTTCCAGTAAATTAAACAATGTGGAGAGGTTCTCAAGGTTCTATTTCACTTGCTTATTTACTTCTATAAATTTGAGTCTCACTGTGTTAATTAATCTGTTGTCTGAAGTTTTGGAGCATAAACACCAAGATTCCGTAGGAACTCTCTAGGAATAGGCATAGTTTAAAAACAAACAGTATGTATGAATTCTTTGGTGAGAGAACTATAGTCTAATTCCACTTCTGGTGAGCAGCTGTTCAGTCCTCTAATTTTCAGTAGTTAGTGGGAACAACATTTAAATGGTGCAAAAAACCTGAAGTATCTTTTATGAACTGTTCAACAGGGTTTCTCCAAAGACACTGTTAACATTTTGCACCAATGGCATACTACTTCGCACGCTAATGGCAGGAGACAGCACTCTAGCAACTGTGACACATGTTATTGTGGTAAGAATCCTGTTGTATTTCGTGTGAGGTGGAGCAGTATGTATTATGTGTGAATTGGAAGATGAGATCCTAGTTTTCTTTATTAATTTGCTGAGCATTTAAGGTGTTTTTGCTTGGTTAGAATCTGAATTAACAGTAAAGACTTACTGACTTACTGGGTCTTTATGGTAGCATGCACAGGTGTTTTGCTTTTTTTTTTAAAAGTCTCTTATTTTAGGTTCATGCTGATAATTATTTTTGGAATCATGATGCATTTGTGGAGGACAGAGCTCTAAATTTTTTCGAACTTCCTCTGTCAGAAAGCAGGAAAGCCTTAGGGAGGCTTATGTAGATATGATTCAATGTGGGTGTGTTAGAATTTCTTGTATCGTGTACTTGTTTTAGCAATACCAGGTTTGCAGTCCATTTGTTTGCCCAAATGTTTTCAAGATAATGAGTAGTGTAATTTTCAGAAAATTACTTCAGTGCATTTGTATAATCATGTGAATATTTCTATTGTGGAGTTTGATAAGTCAGTGGAACGAGAATGTTTGCTGCAAGATAAAAGTTCTCCACTGCTGGAGACAGAAAAATTCATGATAATTTTAGGTGCCTACCTGTTTATCAGTGGAAAAAAGTGTCCAGATGATTTATACATTCTTGACTGCAGCCTAAAAATGTTGTATTTGGGTCCCTGCTTCGTAAGTTCGTAATATAAAACAAAACAGAAGCACACACCAATAAAGGTCATTAATCAGTCATGTACCTTAATTGATGATATGCTTTGACTTAATAGATCTAAGGAATTTAACTTTTTTTCTAATTATGTGATATCATACATTTCGTTAAATGTTCATCAGTTGTGAAGTGAGAATTTATTAAAATAAGGTTTGTAGTATTTGCAGTTTGTCATTATCTTGAAAATGAGACTGAAATATAAGAACTAGAAAAGTTTCAGAAGTTCACTTTAACCTCTGAAATCAAGGTGTATGTGTCTTGTGCATTACCAGTGCAGTCTGCTCTGATACCTTTATAAAACTTTATGAAATATTTTTTTACTTTTGGATAGGTTTGGTTTTTTTTTAAATCCTTACTTAAACTAGACTTATACATTTTAATGCATCTGTAATGTACCAGCAAATTATATATTTTAGTTTTAAAAAAAGTTCGTATCTGTGAAATTATGTTATAATCTTGGATCTGTGATGTTTATCTGCTGTTTTGGTTTTTTTTTTTTTCCTTTTGTTATAGGATGAAGTACATGAGAGGGATAGGTTCAGTGACTTCTTGTTAATAAAACTGAGAGATGTGTTGCAAAAACAGACTAATTTAAAACTAATTATTTCTAGTGCTGCTCTAGATGCAAATCTCTTTATTAGGTATTTTGGAAGTTGCCCAGTAATACACAGTAAGTATTATGTAAACTCTTAAATCTGAGTATACCTGCCCTAAGACTTACAGATCTTATTAAACTGTAGCAAACCATTTTGAGTAAGGGAGTGTGATAAATACACTGAGGGTTACACCAATGCTTGTTCTTTTTTTGATTGTTTTTGTTGTTTCTTAACTATTTGCACCTACTTCAGAGTGAAGTGTGTTTATCACAGGGAGTTCTGTAAGTGCAGGGGTGTCCTGGCCTGTGCCGTGTTCAGTTCAGGAAGCAGGAAAAGTTCTTAAAGTGCTGATCTCAAGGGTGATATAGACCCTAGGATCTACAAGAGTATGATGTATGTTAATTCATTCCAGTAGGTTCTAGTTCTTCAGGCCTCACAGAGATTGGTGCTGGTTACTGGGTAAAACGCAGATAACTACACCTGGTCACTTGGAAACACAGTCCTAGGCAAATTGGGTTTTCATGTTTTAGTCACAATGATTCTTTATTTTAAAGGAAATTATTAGCTGTTAATTTAGGTAAACCTTGAGAAAAGACATGGCTATTTATGTTAATTTATGTTCAGACTCAGTAATCTGCAGTTAGATTACATTCAAATACAAAGAAAAGTTACCATTATTGCTGTTTTAATTTCATTTTAGAGGTAAAACACAGATGTGTGGGAGATGCTTCCCCCCCTCCCCTTCACCCTTCTGGCTTGCAAGTTTTCTGCATGCGTGACCTCCTCTTGCACCTTGCAGTCCTCTTCCTTTGTCAACAATGATTTCTAAGTATAACGTGTTTTGAAAAGAATCTTTTAAGAGAAATGCTTTATTTTCAAAACAATCAAGTACACTATCTATGTGTCAGCCTGTTTTTTTAAGACCCTTGACAGCCCCAGGACATGGGTAGGACCACTTTCTTTAGAATCTTCTCTACAAATCAATGGTTTATTTTAGTGAATGTTCCTGAAAAATAAATCTTTTTTTTTACAGATAGAAGTGTTTATTTCCAGTTCCCAGTTGAGAATTTCTGTCTAGTAAATAAGACTTGCAACTTGTTGGAGGCAGGAATCTGGAAATTACACATTATTTCAGTGTCTGCCAGATCTTTTTTGGAGATGGGAAGCCTCAGTTATAATTGTTGTGTGGCTTTCCAGCTTACTCTTCTTGTAGCTTCCTGTTCACTTAGATCAATATATTTATTCAGGCAATTCTGATGACAATCTCTTTCTCCAGTTTACCTCAGTGGTTATACTGTCATCACATACTAGTCTTTACAGGCTAACCACGATTGAAAACTTTCCTTCTTCCATTTTTGAGAATTTAAGAATTAGAAGAAGAGGGTTTAGATACTTCGTCTGTTAATGTCATGAAAGGATTTGATCCTCCTTCAACAATACAGCTGGCAAAATCCTGACCACAGAAACCAACATTTTGTGGTTGTGGGTTCCTGTAGTACACAGAGTTTGTGAGAAGTGTTGGAAGACTTCCTCCATTACAGCTTCTAAAAGTACATGAATTGTAGCTTGTTCTTTCTGAAGAAGAGAAAAGTCCTAGGTGACTTAAACTCAGCTATGGCAAATGTCTGCTAAGGGACCAGAAATTAAAATTTAGAGATTTTAATTCTTCCTGTGAAAAAGAATCCTTTAATGTCCACTAATAAGATCTAGGAAACAGTGATAATTGAAAAAGAAATCAGGGTAAATTGTTAGGAGATAAAGATCATTGGAATGTCTCATTCATCAGGAAGTATTCAATAAAGAAAGCCAAATTTGGCTGAAGTGATTGTCCATCTCCTGATATACTTCTCATGGAAAAAAAAAAAGCAGTTTAATACAAAGGTGACTATCTGCTTGTGGGATCTTGCACTGAAGCTGTATTAATTGCTGTTATATTTTGTAATCTAGGTGGCAGTCTTACACAGTGAATTCTTTTTTGTAACCCTAAACAAAAACGGCTATTTTCTTTTTCTCATTTTGATAAAATTGTAACTAATAACTGTCAACATTATAAGCATCTCTTGCTATAGCACTTAATAGAATTGAAGAGGTTAATGAGAAACAAGGTACCCAGCTATCATTTCCCTTTTGAAATGTTGTTTTGTGGACCAGTAATCTTAAGAAAATAAACTCCAGTGAAGATACTCTTACAAGACTTTTCAAGGAAAGTAATAGTTCCTTAAATCAGGCCCTAATAATGTTTAATTCACTTTTTGTGTCTACAAAAATGCTTTTTTAAAATAAAGATTATAAATGAAGCTAGGGAATATCTAATATTTTATGAATTATTTATACTTTCAGTACAAGGAAGACCTTTTGAAGTTAAAGAGATGTTTTTGGAGGACATTTTACGAAGCACTGGGTATACAAACAAAGAGATGGTAAAGTACAAAAAAGAGAAGCACCGAGGTTGGTGGACTTCTTAATTGTTAGGGTTGGCAATGAGTCTCATTGATTGATTGAACAACTAAATAGGATTAAGGATTAAAAAGAATCTCTTAAAATTCTAAAGTCATAGTATTAAATGAGGCATGATTAGATGACGGCAAGTATCTTTAAGCTCTGTGTTTACATTATTAGATTATGTCACTTCAAAAAAATTTCTTCTGCTTTTTTTCAATGGTTGTATACTTTTTGCTTTCAGTTGATAGATGTTGTATTTTTCCTAATTATTATGGGGTAGAATTGCATATAACTGGGGGCTTTGCCCACATGAAAACTATAGAAGCAGAAGATACGATGGGCTGAATTTTGCGTGCAAATTAAAGTGCACCCATTAAAGAGGCAGAATTTTGTACATCTTGCACAGAAGTGGTTCCTATTAGTAACATTTTTCACTGCATTCTTCAGACATGGGTGTATTTAATATATATAGCACAGAAGCGTTAACACATTTGAACTTAATATAGTTGTTTTGCAATTGATTAAGTAGATATATTATTTAAGAAGTTTTCTTGACAACTAAAAGAAATGATCCTAGTGTGTATTTACAAAAAAAAAAGAGGCAAAACCCAGCTCTGATCACTGTGGGTAGAAAAGTTCAGTTAAGGCATTGGTGTCTTCTACCCATACACAAAAATTAGTTGTTACAGGAGCTATACCACATCTCTTTGGTGTTTTACTTCTGGAGAAAGATCTGGACTGAGAATTGTGTAGAAAATATTTACTTACGAAGCTCATTTGAATGCAGTAAGTTGGAATACTGGAGACTTAGGGGGTTAAGTACCCAATTTTTTTTTCTTTTTAATCTTGTTCTTATAGCAGATGTTTGCAATGGTGCACCTTGGGTGCCCTTTAATCATGGAATTTATAGTGGACTGGTAACACTGTTCTAGATTAAATAACAGAGATTGAATGAGTAAAACTTTGTGACTTGATATTTTGTAAGTGAAAACAATGGATAATTAAGACTGCAAAACTTTTTTTGTGAATACTTTATGCATTCTAGAAGAAAAACAGCAAAGCACACTTACTGAGTGGTGTTCTGCTCAAGAAAATAGCAGCAAACTGGAATCTCAGAGGCAAAGATCTGTCCCAAGTGCAGCTGAAGAGTGTAATCTGTTGGATGATGGTGGTGACACAGTATTTAATCAACTGGTAAGTTTTTCCTTTTGTTGGAAGAGATACTTAAATCTGTGTTATATTATTCTACCGATTTAAAACCTGCATTCTGAAGATATTGCTCCTGTAGACTTTCTAGAAGGATATTAACATATTTTAAAATATGAATTTTTTTTGTTAGCATGAACTACTCTAGCTGAAGTGTGCTTTTCAGTTATGATGGTTGTACATAACTTTCATTTAGATTAAATGGCTAGACTGTCATTGTTTAAAGTACTTGCATATGATACAATAAATGCTTTAACTGATATCTGAATGCTGTTTTTCTGGTTGTTACTTGGAAAGCTAAATGTTCAAATTCTTTTACCTGAGAATAAAGACAACTCTTTGGATTAATCTTTCAGTACTGTTTTTTCTCTTCAGACTGAAAAAGATGCGAGTTGCCTTGAACCGTGGCTAATAAAAGAAATGGATTCTTGTCTTTCTGACATCTGGTTACATAAAGATATTGATTCCTTTGCTCAGGTGTTCCATCTCATTTTAACCGAAAATGTCAGTGGTAAGCTTCTCATAAGAAAAAAACAACCACACAATGACTTGAATTTCTGTGGCTACTTTATCGCCAGTTTCAAATGTTGTTACCTTTGAATTCTGATGCCTATTGAAAAACTGAATAGGGTTGGCAGAATTAATGACTGTTGGAGTTATTTGCTGTACTTGTTTTGAAGTATTGACAGATAGTATCATATGTTTCTAAAATAGTGTTAAATTCACATGAACTGACTGGTGGGATGAAGTGAGGAAACAAATTCTCTTTGGGCTGGGTTTTGAAAGTCATATTCATATAATTTAGATGAAAAAATAACAACGTTTGTATTGGTTTTGCTGATTTTTTTTTTTCTTTTTTTTAATTTCTCAGTTGATTATAGGCACAGTGAAACCAGTGCCACTGCACTAATGATTGCTTCAGGGAGAGGCTTTCTGAGTCAAGTAGAACAACTGATCAGTATGGGAGCAAGTATCCACTGCAAATCATCCAATGGCTGGTAAAAACAAACAAATAAACTGAAAGATAGATTTGTCACTATACAAATGTGAAAGAGATTTCTGTAACACCTAAACTCATTTGCTAACTTATCAGACTACTGTAAGCACTAATAGGTTTTGACAGTCTAAACAATTTCTAACTTCTGTTTACCACATTGTTTTCTGTAAATTATAAATTAAATTCTTCATTACACAGTCTTGAATATGGGATATACACTCTTGGTTTCAATGAGTCTGATTTAACGCACTGGTTAGAAGAAAAATTGGAATTTTTCTTACTGGGTTGATTGAATTAGACCCAAAATGTTTGCCAGTTCTTGTCTTGGGAGTAACATATATCACACTGAAAAATAGTGTATTACAGCTGCAAAGATCTTTACTGTTTTATATCTGTAAATACGTTGTATCATGTAAAAATATTTGTGAATCTGTGAAAATTCAGATTTTTGTGGCCGTGAATTGTGTCTTTATATAAACAGGGTACTATGGTAAATAATTGTAATATAGAAAGAATTAGGATTCCAAGGATCTGATATTCGGTACTACCACTTGAAAAACTCGGGAAGGAATGC